ATTTCTTTATGAAAACCATAAGCGTGCGATTAAAGAGATTTCTATTGAGTTGCATTCCAGTTTTACTATTACCGAATTAGTTAATAATTTTTCGTAGAAGTATTTGTACCTTTTCAGTAATTGAAAAAGAAGAAATCAGAAATAAGTTATTCTGAACCGTCTGGTAGTTTTAGTGTTAATCGAGAAGATTTTCTGATGAAAGCATTGAAATTTTGTTATTTAATGTTGGGAGATGAAGTTTCGAATTCAGAAAATTCGGGGATGATTTTGTTGCTGGTGATGAATAGATAGTCGGTGATGGTTTGTAGAGTATATTACTGATTCGAGCAATCGATGTTCGAACAAAGCGTGGTGTTTTCACGAGTTCGGGACATAGAGCAGCGAACCTTTGGAAGAGAAATGCAGATGGCAGAGCGGCATTTAGAAATAATTCAAATGGCAAACTTTGCAGTAAAGTCACCTTCTTCGCACTAGAAACGCGTCAAACTCAAAGATAACGTACAGGAAATGGGACAAAATTTCGGATAATCATTAATGAAAGACACCTAAAATTAGAAACAATTCTCGGTTCAACATTCTTTTAACAAGGAATCTATCTTCCGTTCCAAGTTTGCACGCTCGAGTAATCCTTCCCTCTTAAATCTTTCAAACACCAATTCACCATCACAGCGAACGCAAACGAAATGTATAACAATCTACACAAGTATCTCGACACCATGGACAATTACAACTATCACAGTACTAAGAGGACGAAAATAAACTACCTTTTCTCGTTAATATATCCCGGAATCGTTTAACAGGCACTTCGCAGCGTGGAAGAAGGAAACTCCCAGGTAACCGACGTACCTCAGGTTCCCTCGGTGTTTATTGGAATTCGATCTCGTAACTCGCACGATACTCGATCCGCAGTGTCGACGATCGACAAGCTTTTGAATCACGGAGAGCACCACGACTACACGGGCAAAGGGAGGAGGAGAGGAGAGGAGCGCTCTTTTGAATACTCGATAAAGATCAGTGCCATCTCTTTGAAAAAGGAAGAGAGGTCAGGCCAGCGAGTTCACGACTGCCTCCCCCTCCCCGCGCCCCTCACGCCGTGGCACCATTACGAACGTATGTTTCGACGATCGGGGGAACATTCTAATGAATTTCATTCACGCCGCTCAAACCGCTCCGGGAAAAAGGAGGGGCGGGGCCGCTTACTTCGTTTCCGTTTGAAACGTCTGAAGCGACTGGTTTAACAAACAATACGACGATCCGATTGATATATTCCTTTGACCGTTTCGCGACGGAACGATTGGATCAATCGGCGCGGATGTATCGCGAGCAGTATAAAAAAGATATCGGTGGAACCCCTTTTACTACTTGATGCTGGTATTTCATTTGTACTGTCCTCTTTTACGTCCTTCTTCGAGGGACAGCAGCGTTTTGTGTCTCGCAGGCTTGTGCTTCGAATAAGTTAACGTTCCCTGTAATAATGTTATCCTACGTACTTCTTTGTCCCCTACTCTTTTTTTTCTCGAGCGAGGTTGGTATTCTTTCTGTGCAATGAAAACGCAGGTTTCGCAACATCCGCGGACTGAATAAACGGGTAGAACTCGGGAGAAATTTCTTGGATAAACATGTGAAGTTGTCGGTGGGGAATAAGGAATATATGAAAGATTCGAGACTTTGAGACGTCGAGTGGTGGTCAAGTGGCGAAACTGGAGAAGAATGTATGCAACTGACTCTAGGGTAGTTGACTATTGATTCTAAATGAAAATCGAATGTCATCCAACTTTGTCTTCGCACAGATTCTACAGCAGAAATCCTCCGGTAATAGATAAATCGATTGAACAACCCTTATTAGAAATAATTTTCCTTCTAAACGTACTTTGGATACTGTACAGAACTAAATGAAACCGCATTATTACGAACTGTTTTTCCATAAACTCTTTTAAAGTACAATTACTACCATCTACTACACACAACAAATATTTGACACCTACAGCCAACATCTTCGTCAACTTGTTAACCAAAGATTCGTTTCAACTTAGAGGTACTACGTAGGTTATTGCAAAAGTTTCGAAATATAAGAATAGTCACAAATAAATTTGAATAAATGATTTTACTATTTCCCAAGATATTCTCCTCCAACATTAACACGTTGACTGCCACGAGAATTTCTAGCGTTTCGAATAGTAATACTTATTCTTCAATAACAAATTTTCAAATGATATTAAAAATAATTATTAATGATTTAGTATTACAGTAGTCACATTACACTACAATCTAGCTACTTATATTACTAAATATTTTCATTTAAAATCAAGATTTTTATTGTAATTGTTCTTCAGCAATTCGGAAGATTTGGTCATCGGTGACCACCGTGGCAAAATGTTGATACACTTGCCATTGTCAGCACTTAAACTTATATGAAGATTTACGAAAGTAACGAACAACTGAATGACATCAAATCCCCGAAACTTCAGCGGTAACCTGCGTGCAGCGAATTGTCCGTGACAGAAACACGTGGTTTGGCCATGTTCGGAAAAAAGAGCCACGTGGGAGCCGCTCCATTGGGAACGCCGGAAGTGGCGGGCGAGCGAGCAGGTTCCCGAGGGCCGAGGGCTGGCAACGTCACGCGTTTCGCATGATACGGCTGTTAATCTCCCCACTGCGCCGCCGCTGCTGCCGGAACACCGAAATTCACGTTTTACGCGTCCCGGTGAGCGGGTCGCGGGCGAAGGAGCTTTCGCGACCCCGGAAAGTTCAGCGCGGCGCTGTTCTTCGCCGGATAATGACGGCGCGGAAACGCGCCCCGCTCGCCCGGCGCTGTTAACTCGAAGCGCCGCTTACATTTCGGTACGCAGGTTCGAACTAAACGCCGCCGACGATCGCGTACCCGCTAACACT